GAGCTGCGCGTGGCCGACCCCCCCGCCCCCCCGGCCGGGGCTCGGGGGCCTCAGCGGCGGCGTCCGCCCTCGACGCGTTGCCCGCCGCCGCGGGGGCCGCCGCCGCCGCGGGGCGCGCCTCGGCGGGGAGGGCCCAGGAGCGGGTCCCCGCAGAGAGTCGAGACGCTGGCAGAAGTACAGTCGGGGCCTTGACCTAAGGAACCCTAAATAAGGAACGAGGCCCCTTGTTATCCTACAAGATAAGCTTCGATTTCCAATCGAAGCCATAAGGAACACATGAGGCAAACTGTGAAACGCTTAAGGAACGCGGAGCCCCTCCCCAACGAAAAGGGTTCCTTCTCCAGGGCCCCGACTGTAGCTCTAGATAATTGAGGGATGAAACAACGGCCCTACCCTGGATTACAAGTGCGTGGTCTGTAAACCTCCCGGGAACCCCCAAAGCCTAGAGGACGCCAGGACGCCGCACATCACGCAGGATTTACCCTGTCAGCCCACAAAAGTTTCAGCGCGCAGCGCCTCGTAAGCCAGGGTAGGGGTGTTTTGTTCGTGCCCTTGAGATAAGGAAGGAGGCCCCATTCCACTATTTACATTTCGATGTCCGAAAAGAGAGCCTGAGGAGCACCTGAGAAAAGAAGCAGTAAAACAAGTAAGGAACACCGCAAGGGTTCCTTCTTCAGCGGCCCGACTGTAAATCCGCCACCGTGCCTCGAGGCACGAAGTGGAGCTGCCCCCAGGCCTCAGGCCCTCCTGCGTTCTCAGTTCTCTGCGCCCAGGACTAGGGGATTCTCGTACTCCACGGGTGAATCACACTTCACGGGCGCTCCCTCGCGCTCCTGCGCTGCCTCCCGCGACGATTCCAAAACGCCAGGGGGCCCCGAGACGGACCAAGAGGGGCCCAAGAAGCGACCACGAGACTTCCACGACAGCCCACGAGCGCTCCAAGCTGCCCAAGAGGGCCCCAAGACATCCCAAGGGGCCCCAAAGAAGCACCAAGAGCACTCCAAGAGGACCCCCAAGAGGGCCCAAAGAGACAACAATCATCGACTTTCCAGGTGTTGTTTGATGTTTTTTGCGTTCGCGGTACTTCTCGCTTCCACCGCTCGAAGAAGGCCCCAAGGGCCCCAGAGGCCCCAAAGAAGGCCCCAAGACGGTCCAAGAGGGCCCAAAGACGGTCCAAGAGGGCCCCACAACGGCCCAAGAGGTGATCAAGATCACCCAACAAGGGCCCAAGGCAGCCCCAAGAGGGGGAACACGAATCGAGCATTCGAGCCTTCCGCCCCAAGAGGCACCCAGGAGGCCCCAAGAGGCCCCCAAGAGAGCTCAACAGGCCCCCTAGAGGCCCCACGAGGCCAAAAAATAGGCCCCCAAACGGTCCACAAGAGGCGAGGCCCCCAAGAGAGCTCAACAGGCCCCCTAGAGGCCCCACGAGGCTAAAAAATAGGCCCCCAAACGGTCCACAAGAGGCGTCAAAACTGCCTCCAAGTGAGGCCCCCGAAGTCGCCAGCGAGGACCATGCGGCTCCGAACACACACCTCCACCCAATAGAACAACACCCTTCGTCGGCAGAGCACCAGCCCGCATCACCAGGCACGATCGAGCCGCGTCCAACCCTGGCGACGAGCAGTGTCCCGAGATCGTTAAAAACAAGAGCACTTGTCTGACAGCAATACGAGCATCATGCTTCCTCCTCCTCGTCCTCAGTCATCCAGCCACTCCTCCTCCTCCTCCTCCTCCCACTGTTTCTTCGCTTCGCACTCCTCAGCGGTTGCTCGGAATTGCGGGGGCGTCTCATGCGAAACTGGCTGGACCCCCTCGCACGCGGCATATCTTTGCCAAGAATTGCAGGGACGTCTCAAGCAGAACTGATCGGATCACCTCGCGGGTGGCATCTTCAAGCCTGGCGCAACGACGATGCCTCAAGCGGAACGGAACAGGCAAGTTCTGGTCACAGTATCCCAGAACCCACTAGTTCTGCGGATATGTCAAGCGACATGGGCCGGACCACCTCTCGCGTAGCGTCTGGGAGCCCAGAGATGCGAAGATGTTTCCAAGCTAAACGAGCCAGACCATGCCGAATCTGGTCGTCTCGGGACGCAGACTTGCGACGATGTCTCCTGCGAGCCGAGCCGAGCCACCTCCGCATGTTGCCAGTGTCTCGACGCATGAGCCCCTCGGACGGCAGCCGTCCTTACCGCAACAATGCCCCCCCGGCACCGGCCGGGCGACCTGGGAACACTCGAATACAAAACCGTTTGAAAGGTAACAAACGAGAAGTTGCCATGTAGGCAGAGAGAGAAGGCGACAGAGAGCACGACAGAGGGAGAGAGAGGGTTGTGGCAACGTCTCGTTCACTGGGCCCTGCAACGTTATGTGATCTGGTCGATCCCCCTGGCCGACGAAGCAGGCACCGGCGGGCCCAGGGGCGAAGTGCCCTGAGGCTGCCACCCTCGACTACATCAGCCTAAAACTGCGTGGCTCAATTCACTCGTGTGTCTGACGCTCTGGGAATGTGTGACATTGTGTGCGTAGTACTTGTTGGTGCCTCCCTCTCCACTGCCTATCATCGTGGACCTTCCGAGTCGCGCCAGCCCAGACCGCGTTTGGCTCTGCTTCGACATCCAGGGGCGAAAAGGGGGTGACAGTGCAGGGGGGCGTAACAAGTGGTGATATAGAATTGTCGAAGGTAGTAAGTTGTCTTATTCGAGACTGGGTGCGTCAACATTCCCGATGACGAGTAATCCTCCACCGTGGCCCCCTGGCACGTTGGGGCGTGCCAGGATACCAAGTGCTGTCTGGTCAGAGTGGGGGGGCCGAACGGTCATTCATTGTCCCTGGGTGCGTGGCTGAAGTGAGAACCCGTGGTGAGGATTATGTTTGTTGCGTTGTTGTTGCTGGTTCTCGGCGACCCCCCCCCCGCGACCCAACCGCGACCCACCCCGCGAACCGCCCCGCGACCCACCCCGCGACCCACCCCGCGACCCACCCCGCGACCCTCCCGCGACCCACCCCGCGACCCACCCCGCGACCCACCCGCGAAGCACCGGCAACCCACCCTACCCACCCCGCGACCCACCCGCGACCCACCCCACGACCCACCCGCGACCCACCCGCGACCCACCCCGCGACCCACCCGCGACCCACCCGCGACCCACCCGCGACCCATCTCGCGAAGTACCCGCGACCGACCCCGCGACCCACCCGCGACCGAGGGCTCGTTGTATAAGTTGTGAAACTCTGGCGCCTGCGGCGGGCTTCTCCAGAGTCTCGCAGACTGCCGAGGTCCCCACCGCCCCCTCACTCTTACCCGCATCTGCGGGGTGCTACGTAGGATTTCTGTATTCGTCTGGGGACCCTCCCTCTCTACCAGCGCTGGGCCTGCGCAACGCCCCCCCTGCCGTCTTTGTGGTAAAACATAAGATGCGCACTCCCGATGCCACCCATCTTGCTTCGCGCTTCCGAGGCCAATATGCCTCCAAAGACGACCCAAGATGGCTCCAAGAAGGCCCACTTTGGCCTCAAGACCGCAAAATATGGCATCAAGATGGCCCAAGAAGTTTTCGAGACGTCCCAAGAGTGCCTCGAGAGCCTTCCGAAGAGGGCCCAGGGGCAAAAATCTGTGATTTCCCCATGGCTCTTACATGCTTTCGGGGTTCTCGCCTTTTGGAGCCTCCGACGTCACAAGTAGGGGTCCACATGCGAACCCTACCCCTACCCCGCGATTTCTGGGGGGAGAGTGGGGTTCAATTCGCTCGCGAACCCTACCCTCCCCTGAGAAATCGTGGGGGGTAGGGGTAGGCTTCGCATGTGGTCCCCTAACAAGACGGCCCACGAGACCCCCAAGAGCACCCCAAGACGGCCGAAGAGGGGCCCAACAGAACCCCAAAGCTGCCGAAGAGACGCCCAGGAGGACCCAAAGGGGGCCCCAAGAAGCGCCCAAGAGGGGGAGCACGCACCAGCAAGTCGGGCCCTCCGCCCCAGGAGGCTCCCAGGCAGCAGCCCCCCAAGAGGACCCCGAGAGGCACAAATCATGGATGGTGAGTGATCTTTGATTGGCCTTTCGACATTGGGCCGAAAGGGGGGGGAGGGGGAGGGGGGTATGGCTCCAGACCTCTGCTTAGTGCGACTGTTTGCAAAAGTGCTGCCTCTCGGGGGGACTCAACCTGCCCGAAACAGGCGCCAAAAACAGCCAAGATCCAGTTTGGGTGCTCGCGCCGATCGGAAAAAGAAGGAATAAAACAACGATCACAATCATGGATGCTCCTCAAGTGTTTCAATGGTTTGGGGATCGTCCGCTGTCGCCCCAGCGAGAGCACCCATCGCCGCTCGAGGTGTCACGCGCTGGGGCCTCCCGTCTCCCTCGCGCAGGCAGGGGCCACCGAAGAGGCCGGGCTGGCACGGTGGCGAGCCTTGCCGCAGGCAGCTGGATCCTGTGGCGGATGTGATGACCGCCACCATCCGCACGCGGCCGTGGCGCCCAGGTGCAGCGAATGAGCGACGGGGCTAAAGCTTAGTGGGCCCTGGAAACGACAGGGCCGTTTTTTCACCGATTCCGTTTTGCCGTTTTCTTGCCGGTTCCGACGCCGTTTTTTTACCGGTTCCGTCGCCGTTGTTTGACCGGTTCTTGCTCCGGTTCCAATCCTGGAGCCGTTTTCTTGCCGTTTCCGGTCGCCGTTTTTTTGCCGCTTCCATTTGCCAGGGACATTTTTTTGGGGGGGAAAGGGTGGAAAAACGGCCCTGCCGTCTCCGGGGCCCGCAAAGGGCTAAAGGCACCCAGAGAGGCTTTGGGCACACTCATCATCGACTCTGGAGGGCCCCGAGGTGCCTCAGAACTCCTGCGGGTCTCTCTGGGGTCCTCGGGGGCCCAGGGCCAGAACCTGCCGCTGAGCCCCTGCTCTCCCGCCGAGCTCCTACCTGATGCGCCTGCTGCACAGCCATCGCGGCCTCCCCTCGTCGCGCATCTTTTTGCGGGCTGGAGCGGCTCTGAATTCACTGTCGACCGCTCAGCCCGAGGCGATGATTCTGGTCCGGGACGCGGGCTGTCCGGGCGTCATCTGGGCCATCCCCCTCACAGGCACGTTGAGCACATATATGCCCTTGTTGCGTGCGTGCGAGTCGATGTTCGACGAGAGAGGGTCAACGTCCCAGTCCTCGGGCACGCAGGAAAAAAGAGCCCCGAAGGAGACGGGGCCCAGAGGGTCCCGGGACCCCAGAGGGGCCCCTTTCCCTCAGGAGCCCGGTTGATCCATGGGCAGATCCTGCAGGTTGAAGAGCATGCAACCCCGGAAGTTGTGCCCAGCTGGCCCGATGATCATGAGCGTCGCTGGCAAGAAAAGCAGGGCGAAAAACTCCGCGTACACCGTGATTCCGCACACGACGGCCCCAATCCTCGCGGGGGAGAATAGAAGAAGAAAGAACGCCATAAACATATTTTTGTGGCGATCCGCGCGGACTTCTTGGATCTGCACCAGACCCCCCCTCCCTGGCGCGCGGAGCGCGCCAGGGGCGGCGTCAGAGGCGCCGCCAGGGGGGCCCAGCGCGGAGCCAAGAAATCCGCGCGGAGAGCCAAACATTTAATGTTTATAGCGTGTTTTCTTCTCCGCGGGAACCCACAACTGGGAGCTCCAACAAGCAGAGAAGACGGATGGGGGAGAGGAGCACCTCGAAGAGGACAAGGAGAATGCAGATGGATCGTCTGTTGGTTTGTTGCAGACTCCGACCATTCTCGGTGTGTAGGGGCTCCAGATATTTCCAAGAAGGGCGAGAAGGAAACTGACAAATCTCACTGCGCCGACATTGCAGACGTGCTTCAGCGGATTTTGTTGCGTGGGTTGCTGTCAATACAACACCCCGAAACGGCGAGTGAAAAACGACGCGGATGTCGCGTGGATGTGTTTTAGTTTTCATTCCTGGCCAAAAAGATCTGCACGAAATTCACCTCGAAATCCGAAACGAAATTCTACAGGACACTCCGGGCCCATCCTGTCGTTTTCCGAAAGAGACCCGCTCTGCGATGTTGGCGCCATGCTACATTGTGGGAGCGCAACAAGTAACACCCACACGCAGACGCAGGGAACTATCAGCGTGCTACCGCTCAGGATGCGGCAGGCCTTCGAACCAAAGACGAAAGAGCAACACGCTGTCGGGCCACCAGAGGCGGCGTGTTGCTGCTATTGGGGGTGAGCGTCAAGATAGTTACAGATGCAGCTACTCCACAGGCCTCTCCCGAGGTGCTTTCTGACCAAGATTTCGAGACGACTTCAGCAGTGGCGACGATGGTAGCAGCATCGGTAGATGTTAAATGTTCCTCCTCTGAAATACAAGGGAGGCCAATCAACAAGAAACCTTCCGCAAGAAACTCAACCCTGAGACCCCAGGACGTGCATGGATTTTTGGTGTGGGAACGTCGCGCACTCCGTAGCAGAACCATCGAAACCCAAGAAATCCAGGGCACCCTGGAGGCGAGCAGGGCCTTGTGCTCTCCCGAGCGATGAGGAGCACGTGCTTCGGGAGCGCGCAAACATGGATGAGCGATCCGTGGATTCGTCGCGCGGTCGCCAAATCCATGGATTGGGGGAGGTGCCCTCCCAAAGTGCGGCCAGTGCCGCCCCGTTCGGCGGCGGAAGTGCGCGATCTCCCACGGAAGCCTTTGTCCATCTTTGCGACCGCCGGAGTCGCCTCTGTACCTCTTGTGCTTTCCAGAGCGGTGGGGAGCACGTGCTGCGAAAGCTTCTGCCCTGCATCCCCTCCCCCCGGAGTCCGGTAGAACACGTGCAGGGAGCACGGCAGCAGGAACGCCGCGCTCCCCAGGGTGGTAAGCCCCGACCCCAGCACGGAGGGCCCGATCTTCTCCAAGGCGAACCTCCAAGGAAGAGGAAGAGTAGGAGGAGGAGGAGGAGGAGGAGGAGGAGGAGGAGGAGGAGGAGGAGGAGCAGCAAGAGGAGGAAGAGGAGGAATAGGAGAAGGAGGCAGAGGAAGAGGATGAGGAGAAGCAGCAAGAGGATGATAATGAGATGGACGGGAAGGGGTGTTGAGCTGGGAGGGCCCGATCTTCTCCAGGGCGAACCTCCAAGGAAGAGGAAGAGGAGGATAGGCGAACGAACAATGGCATAAACATATTGACTCGGAGGTCTGCGCGGACTTCTCGGATTGGTGCTGGGGCCCCCCGGCGGCGCCTCCGGCGCCGCCCCTGGCGCGCTCCGGGGGTCCAGCGCGGATCCAAGAATTATGTTGCTGTTAGAACGAGGGGGGCCGACTGGTTATTCATTGTCCCTGGGTGCGTGGCTGAATGAGGAACTCGTGGTGAGAATTCTGCTTGTTACATTGTTGTTGTTGTTGTCGTTGTTGTTGTTGATTGTTGTCGTCGTCCCACCCACGACCCACCCGCGACCCACCCCGCGACCCACCCCGCGACCCACCCCGCGACCCACCCCGCGACCCGCCCCGCGACCCACCCGCGACCCAACCCGCGACCCACCCGCGACACAATCCGCGAACCACCCGCGACACAACCCGCGACCCACCCGCGACTGTCCTGCGACCCACCCGCGACCCACCCCGCGACCCACCCCGCGACCCACCCCTCGAGCCATCCGCGACCCATCCGCGACCCACCCGCGACCCACCCCGCGACCCACCCAGCGACCCACCCTCAAGGGAGGAAAAACCATCCGAACCCGACACCTGACGTTCATTAACCGGCTCTGGGCGATGACTAAACAGCCCTGCCCTGTTCGATTCATTCCTTGCGTGCGTTTACTAAACGGCTTCGCTTGTCGGGGTGACTATTATGGGGTGGATCTGCGTTGACTGTCTTGATGCTGTCCTCTCCACTGCTCGTGCAAACATCCCCCTCTCGCAGCTTGGTCGCAAGACCTCTTAAGACCGTGACGGTAGGTACCAAATGGCACTTGGCAACGACACCAACGCCGACGACGACAGCGACGACGACGACGACGACGACTACGACGACACCGACGACGACTCCGACGACTTCGACGACAACGACGACGACACCGACGACGACGACGACACCGACGACGACGACGACGCCCGAGCCGACGCCGCCGACGACGACGACAACGACGACGACGCCGACGTCGACGACGACGACGATGCCGACGACGACGAAGACGACGACAACGGCGACGAAATAGGAGGGACGACGACGAGACGCCGACGACGAACGACGACGACGAATAAGGAGGAAGGGCGACCACGGCGACAACGACGACGGAAACGTCGACGACTCCAAAGAGGACGACGACGGCGACGAGGAAAGACAGGCTGATCACGCCGGCAACGATGACAGCGTCTCCGCGTCGGTCTTTAAAGGAATCCGAAATGCGCGCGCGGCAGACGCGCGAGAGTGGCTCGCATTGTATTATTTGACGCGGATCGTGCCACCCCAGCACGCGCGCAAGGGCGTTCGAACGATTTCGACATGCGCGCGCGACGCTCGTTTGGTAGCATTTCATGAGAATGTTGAAAATCGTGCGGTTGTCGTAACAATTCGCAAGACGCGCGCGCACGTTTTGTTCGACACCCCGTGTTGCGAAACCATGTGTGTTTTATATATTTGTGGGGCAGTCGATTTTGAATTCCTGCCGACACCGACGGTTTTTTGAATGATTTCGGCATGCGCGCGTGACGACTCGTGCGTGTGCACTTCGTCTCATTTTCTCCAAAAGGATTCTCGCGACGGCACGCGCGCAAAGGGGTTCGAACGATTTCGGCATGTGCGCGCGAAGCCTGTTTGGTAGTATGTTCTTGAACATGTTGAAAAACGTATGGCTTTCTTAAAACATCTGCAAGAACGCGCGCGCACGTGTGTTTGTTGATGTTGAAAATCCGTGTTGCGAGACCCTGTGTTTTTTTTCATGTTTTTGGGAGACTCGATGTTGACATCCTTCCAAAACCAAATGTTTTTGGAGAATTTCGGCGCGCGCGCGTAACGGGGCCGTCATAGAGAGCAGCGGGACGGAGCTTGAGATTGGGCCGGAGCCTCCACATCTCACGGAAACTGGACAATCGCGATGCACCCCAGGCCGTCAGAAAGCGGCGACAGACCCGAGTTCGGGCAAATCCCAGTCTTATTGCGAGAGGAGGAAGAGGACGGAGGAGACGGGGCGATGCCTAGAGGCTTCCAATATGGGGTCCGAGTAGATGGGGTCGGAGGATCGCGCCGCATCGGCGATGCATCGGTGATCCATCGGCGATGCATCGGCGATGCATTGGCGACGTCGGCGGTGCATCAGCGACGCCGGCGTGGAGAAAATCGGGCTCCACATCGAGCCGCATCGGCGATGCGGAGCGTTCCTGCGACCCCATTCAGGGATGGACAGAGCCCCCTTCAGTAAAACGTGGTGTAGTGAAAACGACCTCGGGCCCGAACCTGGCGGGCGCAAGCCTGGAAAACGACGGCCGCGACGCCCTCTCGAGAACCGAAAACGGACAATGCGCTGATCGACGTGTCAGGGCAGGGGCTCTGTCCACCCCCGACCCATCTGCTCCGACCCTATCTGGTGAGGCGCAGAGTGCCAGGGCGAGGGGGGCGGGGAACTTCGCGCGCTCGAACCGCTCCGCGCCCCTGTTCGCCTGCCGCACCTCGGCAGGCCGCGGGGACAGGCCGACGCCCGCCCGGGGCGGGGAGGTGCGGCCTCCGGCCGACGGTTGGGCGTTGCTGAATGTGGCCTCCTCCTCCTCCTCCCCTCCTCCCTCCTCCTCCCTCCTCCTCCTCCTCCTCCTCCTCCTCCCTCCTCCTCCTCCCTCCTCCTCCTCCCTCCTCCTCCTCCTCCTTCTCCTCCTCCTCCTCCTCCTCCTCCTGCCTCTCCTCCTCCTCCCCTCCTCCTCCTCCTCCTCCTCCTCCTCCTCCTGCCTCCTCCTCCTCCTCCCTCCTCCTCCTCGTCCTCCTCCTCCTCTCCTCCTCCTGCCCTCCTCCTCCTCCTCCTCCCTCCTCTCCTCTCCTCCTCCTCCTCCCTCCTCCTCCTCCTCCTCTTCCTCCTCCTCCTCCTTCTCTCCTCCTCCTCCTCCTGCTCCTCCTAATCCACCCTTCTCATCCTCCTCCTCCTCCTCCTCCTCCTGCTCCTCCTCCTCGTCCTCCCCCTCCTCCTCCTCCTCCTCCTCCTCCTCCTCCTCCTCCTCCTCCTGCTCCTCCTCCTCCTCCTCTTCCTCCCCCTCCTCCCATTCCTCCTGACTCGCTGAAGAGGGCGGGAAGAAAGGTACATCTCTCGGGCCCGAAAGGCCTCCCTTTTGGGCCACTGAGGGCCCCTTGGGGGCCCCTGCAGGGCTACTTTTCTGCAGCCCTCGCTGCCCCCCCATTAATCACCCCCCCCACTCGACGCGACGCCCAATGCGGTCTTCGCCCAGGCCCGTCTGGCAAGGGGTCAGAGGACAGAGGACAGACAGACAGACAGACAGACAGACAGACAGACAGACAGACAGACAGACAGACAGACAGACAGACAAATAGATAAACAAACAAACAAACAGACAGAGCAGTCTGCAGACCGGCCGCGACGGGCTGGGCCCTTCGAGGCGCATGAAAAACAGCGCCTGGGCAGACCGAGCGAGAACATACGTACGTAGCATTGCGAACAGGAACGATCGCCTGCCAATCACGCGAGAAAGTGGAGGGGGAGGGGGGAGGAGCAAGAGGAGCAGGAGGAGGAGGAGAAGAGCAGGAGGAGGAGGAAGAGGAGGAGCAGGAGGAAAAGAAGCGGGGTCAGAGGAGGGGAAGATGACTACCGACACCGCTGCCCACCCCTCGCCGCCGCGGCCAGCCGCGCCTCGAAATCCCGGTCAGCGCGCGCCCCGTGGAGAGGCCCAGGGAGTGGCAGTGTCAGCATCCCGTTCTCGCGGCATCGCTCGGGCGCCCATTCACCGTGCATATGCTTCGGTCTTGCGCGTGGCTGCTTGGCTCGGCGGTCAAGGATGATCCTCGATTGTCTGCACACGCCAAAGCGATGCCAAGGAACAAGGACACTTACTTTTCAAAAGGGGGCTCGGTCGTTCCTTAGGTTCGCATGCGCTATTTATCGTTCCTCATGCGTTTGTTTGTTTGTATTTGTGTCTCGTTCCTTATGCGTTACCCCCTGGAAAAAGGGGGGCTTCGTTCCTTATTTCTCGTTCCTTAGGTCAGGCCGTTGACTGTAGGGGGGGCTGTCTTCCCTCGGCCGCGCAGCTGCAACTGCTGCTCCAACCCCGTGGCCGGGGCCTGCGCATGTCCGCCCGCGCGAATCCGAGGGGGCGGTGGATGTGGATACGCTGAAGGCACATGTTGCAGTCGGGGCGTTGACCTAAGGAACCCTAAATAAGGAACGAGGCCCCTTTTTTCCATGAGTTAAACTTCGATTTCCGATCGAAAACACAAGGAAAACCTGAGGCAAGCTGTGAAACACTTGAGGAACACGGAGCCCCTCCCCAACGAAAAGGGTTCCTTCTTCAGGGCCCCGACTGTACGCTTGGGCACATGTCAGGAGGCAACTCCTGGGAAGTCTTCGTCCGAAAGATCGAAGATCGATGAAGATTGAACCGAATTGGGGGGGGGGCTTTTGTGCCAGATTAGGCCAGGTATCCAGCGGGATTGAGCCAGATGAAGCGGGAACAAGCCACACCGAGGGGCATGGAGCCAGATTTCGGACCACGGCAGAGTCCGAATTTTGTCTCCCAGGAGTTGCATCCGTACACATGGGGCCCGAGCTTGTCCACACCCACCGTCTCCCGAGGTCCTGAAGAATCCGTCGACCTCTTATGGGTCTCCAGGCGTGTGATATTCTTCTCGATGATCCTCAGAACGTGTGCTAGCGCCAACGTGTGCTTGTCCATCGAGACCGTTCAATATGACGCAGATCATGTGATGATCAACGGGTGGAGATGAACGGGGTAAACAAGGCTAACACACGTCCTGGGTATCGTCGATCTTTCCCCCCCCTGTAACTCCCATGCAGGGGCCCCGAACCGGAATTGTTGACCCCCCTGGGCTCTAGACGACCCCCGGCCGAACTCATCCAGGGAGGGTCCCGCCCTCCCCGGGGGGGTCTGGTTCTCCCCAAGCTCCTCCTGCTGCCTCAAAAAAAAAGCCGACGGCCCCAAGACGACAAAGAAAGCCCGCAGAGGCTACAAACAAGGTCCAACTCGCCTCCGAGACGGACTACGAAGCCTCGAAGACGCCGCCAAAGACATCCGCGAACACTCCCACGAGAGCTCCAAGACGCAAAAGTCTGACACGTTCCGAAAGTATTGAAGAATGTTGGTGTTCTCGCCTTCTCGGCCTCCCGACGCTCCCGCACAGGTCCAGAGACTCCCCAATCTTGCTCCCAGGCGGAAGAGACCTCCAAGAGGGTTCCACAAGGGCCTACGAGCGCCCAACGATGGCCCGAGACGCCTTCCAGACGGCCTGAGAGGCCCCCAAGACGGCTTCAACAGGGGGCTCTGACGGGAAACTCCAAACACATTTCGAGCCCTCGGCCCCAATACGTTCCATGAGGCTCCAGGAGGTCCTCAAGAGGCCGCCGAAAGGCCCCGCAAGGCCCCAAGGAAGCCCCAAACAGCTCACAAGTGGTCAAGAGCAAAACGAATGGTGACCCCCAAAGCATGATCCATAGATGTGCCAAAAATATATGCAAGACTTCGGCGTTCCGCCTATTTCGGCGTCTGAACGCTTTCAAGGCTGCCCTGGGAGCTCCTGGCATCGCCGCAAGACGGCCCGAAAGGCCTCGACGAGGGTCCCAGAACGATCCACGACGGCCCCAAAAGGGCCTCCAAAACGGCCCACCCAAGGTCCAATACAGCGCACCGGACGGCCCGAACGCAGCCATCTGACCAAGAGCCGCCGTGTGAGCTTTCTGCGTTTGTCTTAGTCTGTTTCCTCCTCCTCCTCCTGCTCCTCCGCCTCCTCCTGCTCGTGCTCCTCTTCCTCCTCATCATCCTCCTGCTCCTCCTCCGCCTGCTCCTCCTCCTCCTCCTCCTCCTCCTCCGCCTCTTCGTCCTCTCCACCTCCCCCAAACTCCTCCTCAGCCTCCTCTTGCGGGAGGCACAGGAACATACTAATACGATACGTCTTCCTTGAAGGCGCGCGTCCGATCCGAACATTCGGTATATCCATATTGTAGTAGATCGTTTCCCGAGCGGTGTGGCCAGAACGCGCCCGACGCGACGCATACACTATAAGATTTATCGGTGCGTGCGTCGCCCCTGGGGGGGCGACGCACATATAGTAAAAGTATGCTGGGGCGTCGCCGATCTTGTTTGTATTTCCTCCTCTCATCTCCGCAGGAACTCCTCACGTTTCCTCCTCCCCTCCTGTTTACCCGTCTCCTCCTGACTACCCTGGCCTCTTTCCTTCCCACTCTTGCAATAATAGATCGCGCTCTGAACTTTCCCCAGCGGACACTCCAACGACGTCGCTTCAGTGTGTCCCTTGCGTGGGCACGCGCAAAATTCTCCTCCCCTTGAACTCCATTTTCGGGAGTTCCCTCCTATGTGGACCGAGCACTCATACGGGTGCAAACGGCGCGAAGCAAAACCAACGCTCGCGCAGTCTGCGCGTACCACTTCTCTCACTTTCCTGGCCTTCGTGCAATGTTCCGTTTCCTGCAGGCGATTCATGCCGCCCTGCCGCGAACAGCCCTTGCTGTAGGCCGCGCGCGTCAGCCTTCGCTCAAGCCGATTTGCTGCAACGGCGATCCCCGTCGCAGTTACAATCTGCCTGCTACAGTCCCCGCAAACCACTCTGGCTCCTTTCTTCGCCGGGTGATCCTCCACCTGGTTCTGGCTCAAATGACCCGTGTTCAAGAAGGTCACCCCGCAGGCTGGTGCACAACACGGCAGCGGATTCGTTTCCGCTTCTGCTTTCCGTTTGCTATTGTTCGCCTCCCTTCTGAGCTTCCGACATCCCCGCCATCTCTTCAAACATGAGAGGCGTTTGTCGTTCAAACTTCGCACTCTGCCGACGCTCTGACCCCATTTTGCGTTCCCGCTGTGCGATGTCTGCTTCGCTTTGTCACGGCTGCATCGGGCGCAATATATAGGCAGAATCATTTTCTACGCCTGCTCGTCGCCCGCCTCCTCGCCGCCCCAGTCGCGGCCATGCCGCGCCGGCACACCACCCTCCGCTTTGGCTGCCCACCCCTTGGGGGAGGGGAAGCTCGAGCTCGGGCTGTCTCTCGCGTGCGGCGAACGTATCCACATGCACGCACTCGCGGTCTGGATTCCAGGTTCTAACGGGCGAAGAACGGTATAACATAAACTTTTTCGCTGTCGGGGGCGCCTGTCCCAGGGCGGCTGGAAAGTTGAAACCCTTACGGTGGCACCGTAGGGGTATAAACTTTCCAGCCGCCCAGGGGCAGGCGCCCCCGACAGCGGAAAAAATTATGTTATACCGTTCTTCGCCCGTTAAAGGTTGCACGGATGTGTTCCGCGCGTGGCATCCGCGCAAGAAAGCCCCCTCCAAAGACACTCCGAGAAGGCCCCGAATGGACATGCCATCGTTCCAGGAGGCCCGCGATGGCCTCCGGACGGCTTAAGATGGCACCCAGTTGCCCCGAAGAGCCTCCATGAGCACTCCAAACTGGCCCCAGAAGCCCAACTCGTCAAATTCCTTAGCACAGCGTACATTGTCAACGGAAGCAACGTTTCGGCCTTCCACGAAGTTCCGATCAGCCTCCCAAACGCCTTGCACGAAGCGCCCCACAGGCCTCCCACAAAGCTTCCCACAGGCCTCCGACGGAGGTCCAACCAACACTTCGTCGTCATCATCGTCATCGTCTCAATCTCCGCTCCCACATTCTACTCCTCCCCTTCCTCCTCCTCCTGCCAACCGTCCTCCCTCTCCTCCTCTCCCTACTAACCTTCCTCCTCCTTCCTCCTCCAACGATACCGCTGGAGGCCCCGCACAGCCTTCTGAGCGACCCAGTGCGGCCCGTGTGACCGCCGTGGCGAAATCCATCGCACCAAGCGACAATCGCTGAACAAAAACAAGGGGTCGGCGGATGTTGCCTAAGCCTGGTGAATCGTTCCCAAAAGCGATGGAGATGTGTTCGGCAGAACTTCGGGCCACACGCTTTGGGGAATCGAGGATGACTTGTGTCTGTGTGTTTTTTCCTCTTGGTACATCTCTTTCCAGACAGGCCGTTTAGGGAACTTTCGGAGGTCCGCGCGGATCTCTTGAATTGGCGCCAGAACCTCCTCCCTGGCGCTCGGAGCACGCCAGGGGCGACGCCGCAGGCGCCGCAGGGGGGGGTGTTCAGCACAGATCCGAGGAATCCGCACCGACCTCCGAACAACAAATATGCTTATGCTGCTTTCCTTCGTCGGCATATGCCACCCGGCCCAGGCATGCTTGAGGGAGAACGTTAACGAGGGGGGCCGATTAAGAGGGGAGGAAACATCGAGCTCTCGGCGAGGGCACAGAACGCTCTCGGCGAGGCCCAACGGCTGCAGCGCATCCCGAGGTTGGGAAACCGCTGGAAACCGACGAGACCATCTGCAGACCTCCTACGGACATCGTGGGCGAACACACACATCTGCGGCCTCGCCGGCTGGGCCCCTGGGCCGTGACCCCGCGGATACGGCCGCTTTGCCCCGGATGTCCCGCGTGGAACGTACGCGTCCGATCGCGTGCAGCAGGGGTCCGACCACAGGAACCCTTTCACAAGAAACTCAACTCTGAGACCCCAGGGCGTCCATGGACTTCCGGTGTGGGAACGTCACGCTTTCCGCAGCGAGGCCCTCGAAGCCCAAGATACCCAGGGCACCCTGGAGGCAAGCAGGGCGTCTCTTGGCGTGGGCCCCCACCTTAATTATCCGCGGGATCGCGCCCCCGAATCCAGACCGCGGGGGCGCGGCTACGGATATCTCCGCCGCTCGCGAGGTTGCCCAATGACGCGCTCCGCGCGCAGCCCTGCGCCGCAGGGGCCCCTACGACGCCGGGGCCCCGTCCTCGCCAGCCCACTCCGAGGCACCGCGTCGCAGGTGGGCGACGGCGGCGACGGGAGCTTCGAGCTGCTGAGGGTGTCCGCCACCCTCATGGTGACCCTGGCAAGGGGGGGGGGCAGGGCCTTCAGTGGGCCCTGGAAACGGCAGGGCAATTGTTTCACCGGTTCCGCTTTGCCGGTTTTTGCAAACTCCGATGCCGTTCTTTTACCGGTTCCGTCTCCGGCTCCTACCGCTTCCGGCTCCAGCTCCAATCCCAGAGCCGTTTTTGTTGCCGTTTCTGGTCGCCGTTTTCGTTGTCGTTTCCACTTTCAAGAGATGCTTTTTCAGAAACGGTGAAAAAACGACCCTGCCGTTTGTGGGGCCCACTAAGGGCAGGGCACGAGTGGAAGGTCAGGAAGTGAGGGTAGAGGCCTCAAACCCCGTCTACTGGGCCCTCACCTGAGAGGGCTGGAGAGAGGCAGCGCTAACCAGACCAGCCCTTGAGGGCGTGAGTGGCTTACTAGCTCAAGCCTCTTCTTCCCCGTCGGGGACGGGCTTATCACTGTTCCCCGATAGTAAACACCCCCTCCCCCAGGCGACCGGCAGCAAACCAGGACCAAGGAGGGCCCCACACACCAACCCCCGTCAACAGAAACAGTGTGGAATCCACTCTGGGGCAAAGCCTTAGGTCGTGATCGGGGGAGGGCGCGAGCACCTTGTCGACTGGCTTTGACAGTGGCGGCGGGGGTGCCGGCACATTGCCTGCTGCGCGCACGGCCAGCACCCATATCAAACAACAATACAACATGCAACTCGAGGCAACTTCTGGATCATGCGCGGACACCCCGCGATCACTGTGCAGTGGTTTTGGACTGGGACCTCGGGGGTGCTGGCATAGTGACTGCGGTGTGCAGGCCAACCAGACACTATGATGGCCAGCCCGCCGCGATTGCGCACTGGTTCAGGACCAGGGTGGAAGGGGGCCGATCCGCTTCCCGATGTGTGCTGCCACGTGCGCAGGCGCACCTAGCACACTCTGCGCGTGCCCCGCACGTGGCGCATATGGCGCGGCTGGATCATGCGGCACACGTGGCGCACGCGTATCACGTGGCGCCTTTGGCGCGGACGGGCGTGCCTGGCACGCTTCGGCCAAAGGCGTGCCTATCGCACATGGCGCGCGTGGCGCGCCTGGCACTCGTGGCGCACCTCGCCCCAACGTTGCGCACATGGGATCTATCCACAGACGACCGCTGAACATGCTGCGGCTCGAGTGCTACTTTTGTGCTGGGAGGGCAGGTGGAAGTGAGCGAGACGGCTTGCGGGCGGGGAGGGTGTCTTGACCCTCTCCCTTTCCTTCCCGATGGTCGGGAGGGGGTCTTCGCCTGGGACTAGAGCGTCCAAGGTGGTCAAACAGGACCCCTTCCCCAGAGATCCGGCGTCTCTCGTGTTTTCAATATGGGGTCCACGGAAGTTTCTCCCTAACCGCCTCTTGATCCCGAGTGCTCTTGATCCCGAGGGGTCGGCGACTAATCTTTCGACGGAGCTTGCCCATGCCGCCCCTCCTCCACCAGCGAAAAACCGCTGTATCGATTTGGTTCATTGCGCTAACAAGGTCTGGGCCCCCCACATGCTGAGAAAGCATCGCATACGGATATCTCGTGGATTTCTGAGACCCGGGCGCGTCTGAGGACGTCACTGGCGCCGCGACCGTACTATAGAGCGCTCCTGGAGAAGCCCTGAGAGGTGCCCCAGAACGACTTTGTTCGTTCCGCGTGGCCGCCCAGCCTGGTCCTCTGCGGAGATGCCGTCCTGCCGGGGGGCGTTCCCGTACTGGAGCCATCGCTTCCCTCCGCCTGCTTCCTCAAGATCTTGGCTCCAGCAACGCTCGCAGCCATCCCCAGCCTCGTGTTGCCCGTGAGCGCCACCGACTGGCGGAGCCTGCTCGCTGCCGCGGCACCAGCCTTCTCCAGCATCGTCTTCTGCTCAGCATTTTCGTGCGAATCGTCCGCCTCCTCGGTGACGTCATGGATAATGCAAGCATGGTACTTGTGCGCAATATGCAGGCAGTAGTCTACCGCGAAGCCAATGAACATAATCAGGGAGAGAACCTCAACCGCCCCAATTAACCAGCCCATGACAACCACCATGAAGAAGAACAGCCCTACGATGATCATGGTCACTGTGGACATCACCACGATCGCCAGCCCAAAGCTCCTCGTGAAGACCAGCACGCCCACGAACACGAGAAAGAGAGCGATGCCAAGCGTGAGCACGGTGCTCGTCACGATCACCCGCTCTGCCTCTGCCCGGACCCAGATCCTCGCCGTCTGCCATGCACCGGCAACGCTGGCCCGGGCATCCTCTCGGGGGGAACGCACGGGGGGGATAGCAAAGGGTAGGGTAGAGAATCAGCTCACGTAGCTGCTTTTCCCAGCGCCTCCCGGCGCCAGGAGGCGCCCGTGTATCGAGGAATGGGCTCGGCGGCGGGGCCGAAACCAGCTGCATGCACCAGATTTCGTAACCCCCCCTTTCCTTATCCCCCCCTTTCGTTCGGCCCGATCCTCGTTGAAGGCCGCGAGGTGATCGTCCCACTTCGCCTTCAGCTCCAGCGCCTCGCCTGCCCCGGCCGACAGCGCCAGATCTACGAACACGGTCGAGAAAAACGCCTGGATTCGCGTGGCGCCATCGTCGAGCCACACGTAGCTCTTCGTCTCCCTCCCGGCCGTTTTTGAGCTCAGCACGTACCGCACGGCCAGCTGGTCAAAACCCGAGCCGGCCTATGAGAGATGCAGAGACAGCCTCACCCCCACACTGAACTTCTGGGGACAGAAGGGTCCAGCCGCACCTCAGAAATTACGCTCGACATCGTGAACACATGCACCACCCGGCCTGGATCCCGACCTCTCGTCCAGCCTCAGATCGCAGAGACCGTGTGAGCGGGAGCGGGGTGTCCTCATCTAGAGCAACCCAAAGCAAAGTAAGCATAAACTTTTGGAAGTCTGCGCGAATATCCGCTGACCCCTTCGGCGTGTGAGATGTGTCCCCCTCCCCCAACACCTCCCCCGGGAGCCTGGTCTAGTCGATTTGGAAGGGAGGGGGTATCCCCCAGGATACGGCTGAACGCACACGGGGGGGCAGAGGACCCCAAAACAAGCCAAGAGAGCCCTAAGAGGCCCTTGGGGTGGTCCACGAGGGCAGCGAGTCGCTGAAAGATCGATCCAAACGCAGACGCGGGCCTCCAGACGGCCCAAGAGGCCCCCAAGACTCCCCATGAATCCCCCAAGAGGCGTCCCAAGAGGGCCCCAAGACGGCCCAAGAAGCCCCCAACAGGCCCCAAGGGAGCCCCAAGATGGCCGCAAAAGCCCCCGAGCCAGGAGGCCCCAAAGAGGTTATAACACCGCCTTCAAGACGCCCCCGAGACGCCTCCCACGAGACCCCATCAGCCATCGGAGTGGCCTCAGACCCGCAACCCAGGCACGGTGGCGGGATGTGCCGAAATCCATTCGATCCGCCGCCCCCTGTTGAAGCATCACAGGGGTGCCCAGCGTGCTGAATCCTTTCGCTTTTGGTTTTGTTTCTTTTTCCGAAAGAACTCCCCCTGGGGTTTCGGCCCCGCCGGGGTCCCGGAATGGTGGTTCCAAAAGTTGTACCTGCTCCAGAAGGATCCAAGATGGCATCCAAGATGGCCAAGATGGCCTCCAGGTTCGCCCAAGATGGTCCAAGATGGCCTCCAAGACGGCCCAGGAGTCCAAGATGCCTCCAAGTTCGCACAAGAAACCTCTCAGACGGCCAAAGACGGCCCCAGAGGCCTCCAAGAGGCCTCCAAGACGGCCCCGCGGAGGCCGTTGGTTTTCCCTTGGCTTTTGAAAGATGTTGGTATGTTCTTCTTTTCAGCTCTCCGACGGCCCAAGACGGCCCAAGAGGTCCCCAACATCGCCCGAAGAGCGCCCAAGAGGCCTCTAAGATGGCCCCATGACAGGCCAAGAGGCCTCCAAGAGGGCCCCAACAAGACCCCAAGACGGCCCAACAGACCCCCAAGACGCCCAAGATGGCCTTCAAGACGGCCAAGATGGCCTCCAAGATGCCTCCAAGACGGCCAAGAAGGAGAGAACACGCGAAGGGTACCAGTATGGGTGCCATTTTACTCCTCTGAGTGTGCCTTCACTGGCCAGGTGCCCCCGTTCGCCACCACCCACTCCGAGAAGCCGATCAGCCAGCACGTGAGGTCCGTTACCATCAGCTCCGCGGGGAAGGTCTGGCACAGCTCGAGCGCCTGCCGCTGCGCCCACGGGTCCTCCAGCTGGAACTCCGGAAGGAAGCCGAACGGCTGCTTGGGCGACTCTCCGAGCAGCCGATGACCGAAGAAGAAACAGCAGCATACCGTAGACACACAGGGCGATCTTTGAGGGTCCTAAGGTTCCCCAGAGCCTCTGTGAGCCCTCAGAGTCATCGGGCCATCAGACAACTTCTGTGGGGCACGTGCTGACAGGCTGGCTTCTTGTTTGACGTGCCTATTGTTAGGCATGCTCAAAGATGTTCCAAGGTCAGCGCTACGAGGCGGGGACTTCTCCATATCAACCGCCTGGGACCCGACGTCCTATGGACTCAGCGGGCGGTGAATATGGACATATATTTTGGCCCCAGGGAGCCCGAGCATATCCATATCTACCGCGTCTGGAGGTCTCTGAAATCCCACCAGCCCTTTAGGGCGTAGGTGGTCTGGGGTGTTTTGTCTTCCATCTTCCCCTCTTCCCCTTCGGGGATGGGTTTACCCCTCCCCCTCCCCCCTGCCCTGGAGCTGGACGGGGCCGGTCGCGAGGTGTCAGAGCGTCCAAAACGGCCTCGGCGAGGCAGCCACAAGCATTAGATTTACTCAGGCTTTGGCCCGTTGTTGGCCTCTTGGAGGGGCCCCGCTAATTAAAGCTCCCCTCTTGTCTGATCGATGTCCCCCAAGGTGTGCCAAAGATGGTCCCCAAGGCTTCCAAGGGCGCTCCAAGAGAGCCCCAGGAGGTGCCCAGGAGGCCCCAAGAGGCCCCCAGGATGTCCCCAAGAGGCTCTCAAGAGACCCCCAAGAGACCCCCCAGAGGCACCCAGGACGCCCTAGAGGCCTCGGCGAGAATGCCAAAATCACTGATTTGACTAAGGTTGTGGCCACATGTTTGGCCTCCAGGGGGTTCCAAGAGCGCCTGGGAGAGCCTAAGATGACCTCAAAGATGGCCCAAAATATCCCAAAATGCCCCAAGATGGTTCCCAAATCCTTCCCAAACCTTTGGAAAATCACTCTTTGTTGCTTTCTCGTCTTTTCGCTTCCGATGGCCATCCGAGGCCTCAAGATGGCTCCACGATGGGCCAAGAGGGTCCAAGACAGGCTTAAGAGAGCCCCAAGACGGCCCCAAGAGCGCCCCAAGAGGCGACTTTGGGAGCAACGCAAATTAATGCTCCCCTCTTGTTTGATCGACGTCCTCCAGGATGGCCCCAAGAGCGCTCCCAAGGCTCCCAAGAGCGCCTCAAGAGGCCCCAAGAGGCGCCCAGGAGGCCCCAAGAGGTGTCCAAGAGGCCTCCAAGAGGCTCCCAAGAGACCCTCAAGAGGCCCCAAGAGGCTCCCCGAGACGCTCCAGGAGGCCCCCGGGACCGCCAAGAGGCCCCCAAGACGCAAAAGAGGCCCAAGAGAGCCCCAAGACGGCCCCAAGCGCATCCTACAGTGTCCCAAGAGTGCTCCAAGAGGGACCCTTCATCTGCGTGCTGCCCACTTGCCTGATCGAGGCAAATCCTCTGGACATCGTATCTGGATGGGCTGGCGTGTAGAATTTGACCCTCCAGGCGGTGGTTATGTAAAACGCCCCCCTCGGGCGCGCAGGTTTCTCTGTTCGGCGCTGCCTCGACGGGGTCCAGCGTTAGGCTGGGCACGTCTTCCTTCAGGCATATTTTGGAGGGCAAATGACAAATATTCTGCAGATATCCAGAACAGTCCAACAGTGAACGAGAAATCGTCGCCAGCCTACCTTTGGACTCGTTTGGAGTACTCCTCCTATATGGGGACTCGCCCGACGGAAGCCCAGCGCGGACCCCACCACTGCGGACCATCGACGGATGCACGCCGTGCAGCTCGGAGGAGGGCGCCTCGAGACCACGGCAGCTCAAGATCGGCCCGCGGAGACCCTCCCGGGGACCACGCGCACCGGTCCCCGAGCTGCGCCGAGCCGTGGCTTGCCAGCCTCGAAGGTATCCCTGTCCCTGAGGTTGACACGCCAAAAGGCGATGACAATCTCAGGGGACGCGCCCTCAAACAAGGGAATCCCTAAGACTGGCATCGTGATGAGGCGTTGCCCAGCATAGGGATAGGGATATGTTCCAGGCTGGTAAGTAGCGACGAGGCCCCCCCCACAGAAGCCAAGCTGTCTGCCGCTGCCCCAGCTCGCCCCTCTGAGCAGACATTCCCTCTTCGAGATTGGACCCGTTGGCCAACATGCCCAGCACCTCAGCGGGCCCCGGAAGCGGCAGGGCCGTCTTTGCTCCGTCTCCGAAGAAGCGCCTCTTGGAAATGGCAACGGCAGGCAAAAGCGAAGAACCAAGAACGGCAAACAAAGACGGCTCCGGGACTGGAGCCGGAGCCGGCACCGGTGAAAAACAGCGGCGCCGGAACCGGACGAAAAACGGCACGACGGAGCCGGTGACAGAAACTGTCCTGCTGTCTCCAGGGCCCACTATGTCGGGAGCGGCCACGAGGGGGGTGTCCAAGAGGGGGGGGTGCGAAACATGACCCGCGGCAAGTGCGCGGCCCAGCGGGGGGGCCAGGGACGCAACGAGATCAGACGAGGCGCCCTGACATCTGGGGAAGCATCATGGCCCACGCCATTGTGCCCTCCCCCCCCTGGCCATCACCCCCCCTCTGCCGCCCCCGACGCTAAGCCGGGCACCAGCACGAGGTCGGCGCGCTGTGTGGCGGGCACCTTGAACGCGGCAGCCTGCGACAGGGACCGCGCGCCCCGGCCGGGGCCCTCGTCGGCCCCGCCGACCTCGAGCCCCGCGGGTGCGCGGAGGCCGGTGGGCGGCTGCGGCTGGGAGCCCAGGCACCGCTCCACGCCGCAGTAGCAGACCTCGGGAGGGAGGGGCAGCGGTGGCCGCGTCCAAGGCGGAACTCGGCGCGGAAGCGCGGGTGCCGACCTTGGCCACCTCGGGGGTGGGCAGAACCCCCCCTTTGGTCAAACGTGGTCTGGCAAAAGCTACCTCGTCGGGCCCGAACGTGGCGGGCGCAAGGCTGGAAAATGACGGCCGCGGCGCCCTCTCGAGAACCAAAAAAGAGCAATTCACCATCGACGTGTCAGGGTGGGGGTTCTGTCCACCCCCGATCATCGTCCATCTTGGTAACCGTCGATTCGTGGATCATCCTGGCGCATCGACGACGGCCGGCATGGACCATGACCAAGGTTGGCGTCGACGAGATCCGCCGACATCTTGGTCATGTCCATCGTGCTTCTTCCCATCGGACCTCGGTCATGCTACAGGCGGCCGACCACTCCTCGCCCGTGAGCGTGGCCGTGGGAATCCCCCGCACGTTCAGCCGTGGCAGCACCAGTACGTTGCCCGTGGAGCCCTCGCCGGTCTCCCAGTGCATGGCGTCCAACCTCCTTGGAATGAGAAAACACGCCATAAACATACGTGCACTTCTGGCGCTCCGCACGGATTTCTTGGATCTGCGCTGGACCCCCCCTCCATGGTGCGCGGAGCACGCCGGTGGCGGCGCCGGAGGCGCCGCCTGGAGCGGCCCGGAGCGGATCCAAGGAATCCGCGCGGAGCGCGCCAAAAGTTGATGCTCATGGCGTGCTTTCTTCTTCGACTCCTGACCGTAGTGGATCCTCCTGCTCGGGAGCGGCCAAGAGGGGGGTGTCCAAGAGGGGGGGGGCGCACATCATGACCGGCGGCATGTGCGCGGCCCAGCGGGGGGGCCAGGGACGTAATGAAACAAGAAGAGGCGCCATAAAAGCTGGGGAAATATCATGGCCCCCACCATGATATCCCCCCCCCTGACCATCACCCCCCTCTTTGCCGCCCACGACCTGCCCACGTCACGGTGGCGTTGGGGTACCACCGGGCAGCGAGCGCCAGCGCGTCGCCCAGGCCCACCTCGGGCAGAGGCCCAGCTGGCCCCACCTGAGGGGTGCCCAGACGCCCGCCAGGAGGAGGAGAAGGAGGAGGAGGAGGATTTTCCTCGGAGGCCCTCGGGGCAGAACTGAAAACAAAACCCTGCCTACCCCGATCGACGGGAGGCAGCTGCGGCTTCTTCCCGCGAACGAATGCGGGCCGCCAAGGCCTCCATGCCAGGAGTTGACACGAGGCGCAGTCGGGAGGCCGTCTGTCTACCACTTTGTGTGGCCGCAACCTCCACGACAAAACCAGCAGAGCGACGGCAGGGGTCCGTTACACGATGATCATTGTAAAAGTGCGGGTGAAGCCCCTGCTTGATACGGGATAAGGTCTGGGATCTCGTGCCCAGCTTTCCACAGCACCGCGTCGCCAGCAAAACACACCTCCTCGAAGAGTAGGCCCCACACCTATAGCAAAACACTAAAGGTTCCTGGGCTTCGTTGTCAATCATTGAGCAAGCTAAGAGGTGCCCCCGTTCTTCGGCATCCTTAAGATTCCGAAAAGCAGTGGGGACCCCCTTGCACCCTACCATCGATCTGTCCTGATCCCAGGTGATCGAGAAACACTTGGTGCACCTCCATGCTACTCCCGAGTCGATCTCGCACCAGTCGTGCCAACTCGGATCTCTGACAGCCGCCGTGGTCCGAGGGCCTCTGGCAGAGCGACGGAACTCCATCTTGGGGTAGCAGGAGAGCACTGCGTCAAACATTCGAACTAAAACTTTCACACGCTTCACGCACACATCCAGCGCCTCGAGGTCTTCAGTCGGGGCCCCTGGGTGAAGTGTCAGTGCGTGCTTGGCTAGCCTATCAGCATCAGCATTCCCCAGTGCAATGCGACGCTCCAAAATCGGTAAAGCCAAAATGACCTCCTCAGACCTATGGGCGGGGGTGTAGGACGCAGGCCCCAGGCAGCCCTGAGGGTCGGATTCTATAGCAAGCCTCCTAAGGCCAGCAAACATCTGCTTAGGGCACAGCTGTTCCCGACGGGTCGCATTGTGCAACTTGACGGCACCAGAGCAGTCACTGTGAGGTGTGGCAGGGTGATCTATGACACAGCTGAGCATGGCTATGCCAAGATGCTCCGCCGACTGCGGGGTCTGAAAAAGGGTGGGCCATACTGTGCCCATCATTCTTGCCTGAATCTTGTATTCGGGGCCAGGTGCTAGGAACACAGCCCCGAACGCAGCACGTTGGAGCTCCTTAAACACCTGCTGAGTTGCTGAGCCGTCAACCACAGGCTCACACCCACGGGTCAGCTCAAGAAAATCTTCAACACTGATTTCCTGGCCCTCGGAATCCTGAAAAATCGGGTCGAGGTTCCAGGACGGGCCAGGGACCACAGGCTGAGGCAAAATGAGCCTCGTCCAGAACAAAAGCTCCTGAGGGTCGGCAGCTTTCACCTGATCAATCAGCTCCTGACTAACATACTCGAGCCTCTGTTCAGCTACACTCGGACAGAGCCATTGCCGATGGAACAGGGAGTCGGGTTCCCTACACAAAGGACAGTCCCCCCCGTGGTCATACCCGCACGCTCTCATCCGATCTCCCGTCCAACAGGCACCTGAAAAAAAAACAGCCGAAAGCCAATATTTTTGTCTGGCCGTGGTCTTACGTGAACGAAACAACTTGGCGACAGGGTCTGGGCAAACTCTGACCTCGTTGAAATCGTCTAAATCGGTGGCCATCTTGCGCTCAAGGGCTCTCTGCACGCCAGCCTCAAGCTGCTTGGCCACCAAAGCTGGGGAGGTGTACATTAAATCAACGACGCGATCGCGGTCATCTTTCCACAGCGCAAAATTATCAGCACGCCACCCGATACGATGGAGGGAGAGGAGCATTCTGTGCACTGGGCCTCTAGACTTACGCCAGACAGTAGGGCCTAGCTCAGGAGAGGAACTCGATATTGTGCGCCATATCCGAATATGATCCCGAAACGAGAAGTGGGAAACCGTGGGCTCCGTGAGGCTCTGCCAGAGGCTGTTCGACCACTGAAGCGCTGGGGCCACCGCCTGACGCCGCGCTGGGTCTCCATGAAGCACACACTTCGCTGTCAAGCTTGCTCCCCGATGGGCAGGGGACTTGCCTGACATCAGCACTGAACGTAAAGAGGCCAATTCATGATCAGAAACTCCTAGGACCATGCTGCCGAAACCTGCTGCTGGCCGTACTCCTGCAACATATATCTTGTTAATCCGCGTACGGTCCCTGGGAAGCTTCTTCTTATAGTGCTGGAGTAGTCGGCTTCGAATTCGCATATCGTGAAACCGTTGCCGCCGCCGAGCTCTAGCCTTCTTGGCCGATAACCCCTGTCCAGGTGCTAGGTCCACGCCCAGCGACACCGTGGAGTTCGTGGCCGAGGAAGGGCATATTGGCTGAAGTCGCCTGCGGAGCTTGGAAGCTATCCTGCTGGACGACGAAAAAGATACTGCTTTGTCTTCAGCTAGTCGAACACCTAAACGTGTCTGGAAAACCCACTTCAAATCTTTCGCAGCCTTAACCAAATCATGCATAATAACACTTTCAGGACCATGGGCCGAAACCGTGTCATCATCGACGTACGATCCCAGGCTGACCCCAGGATTTCGGCTAGACCAGAGATCAAACTCGAACATCGCGTAAACCTTCACGAACACATCGTTGAACATGTCACCTGCTGGTAAACCGTTTTGCGCAAACTGTTTAAGCGGGCAGTGATGAGCTCCCAGACGGAGTACTCTCGGGGACCTCCAGAGGTTGTACAGGACTTTTATGAGAACCGTGGGTATACGCCAGTACATGGCCCGATCCCTCAGCCACAGGAGCCGAAAGGACTCGTAGTACTTCATACCGTCCCAAATGAAACCTGCCGTATAATCGCCCTTTTCGGAGGTCTCCTCGGCTCTCACACTTTGTTGCCATATCGACACTTCAGCAGACTGCCCCGCACCAAAAGACCAGTAGGGCCGTTGGGCCCGATCCAGGAAAGAATCCGCCTGCGGTCTCCGAAGTCGCTCCCAAACTCGAACAAAGGAACCCAGAAGCAGAATCGGCCTGAGACCTCCTTTGGGCTTCTCCAGTAAAGGTAGCAGCATCCACAATAGCTGCGCGGGGAAAAGGCCCAGCCGCTCCACGGCCTCGTAGAGCACGGCCAGGCACGTGAGACCCTCGTCGGAGAGGGCGCCAACATGCCGAGGGTGAAATCCATCTAAGCTCTGGGCAGTGTGGCGGCTGAAGCTCAGCGACGCTTTCCGAAGTTCATCAACGCTGGCCCGAGGGAAACATTGACGATCAGGAATCCAGGCTTCGGGTGGCTTCAAGTCCGCTCCCCAAAATCTTCCCAGAGTCTGAGCTTCATCCTCCAGAAGGGCATGCGGATCTGCGGTGAACACTCCAGGCGCACTCTGGATAACTGTCGGCTGCCAAACCTTTTTTAGCTTCGTAAAACGATGCATAATACGAGCTGAGCCAGCAAGGGCCCGTTCCTGCCAGAGATCCCACGACTCCCGCTGGATGCGATCCCCATCCAAACCAGCTTGCTCATAATCCTCACGAACATCCTCTAACAACTGCTGCGCTAGCTCAAGCCACTCCTGCCTATGGAAGCCGCTGTGGTGTTGCCAGCTCCTCGCCAGCGTGCGCATGGCACGGAGGGAGGCGTCCAGGCGCACAGACAGGCCTTCGCCAGGGCAGGAGTCCTGGAGCGATACCTGAAGCTGGATGCAACACTGGACGGCGTCCTTCGTCGCATCTTGCACCGTCAGGGTAAATTCTTGAAAAGACTGGTACAGCCACCTCCAGCCAGCAGCGATCTGGAGCTTATCCTCAGGATCCTTCGGGCGATAGAAAACCGAAACCCAAGATGATTTGATCGTTCGCGAACGCTCACCCAACTCCTTCGGCTCGAAACCTAACGTTCGGGTAAGCTCCAGCTCGGCGACGTCCACAAACTGCGCCCATGCATTATTCAAAACCCTCCAGGCCGCCGTGGCCTTCTCGTGCATGGCCCAAGCCGCTGCCTGCGCAGCATGAGCAAGAGCGCCTTGCCACGCTGGTGGTTGAGGCCGCGGACCAAAAGGCACATCGACAGGAAGGCGCTGATAGCTACGGTACACTAGCTGCCTGAGGGAAAGAGCATCTGCACGCACCTTGAGCTGGACAGGTCTGCGGGGCTTGACGTCCCAAGACATGACAGCTGCAACTCCAGAAATCAATCTAGACAACCCAGGGCCCATGACGAAAAAATCTGTAATTGTGTTCGTAGACGGGGTACGACACGTATGCTCAATCGGCGCCAAGACCAGCATCCCCAACTTGCGTGGAACGCCAGAGGCCTCCAGAACCTGTGGGGTGAGGTTCCAGTCGCCCGCCAGAATCGTATGAGTTGGGTCGTTCACCTGCTTACCTATCTTAGCGATCATCTGCACATTGGCCTCGCTGAGGCCCTCCGAAGTCTTCAGATAGACCGAGAAAACCGTAACCGTGGGCCACCCAGGGAAATCCACCAGGACCTTGATAGCTCGACCAGGAACCACAGGGCCAGGACCTTCTGGAGGCCATCGTAAACCAATGCTGAGCCGAGCGAAGACGGCGACACCGCACGAGACCTTGCCTGTCTCTGGGTTCAAGAACGAGGGGCCGAACAGGGCGTGGAAACCGAGCGAGCGCGCCGAGGCCGTAGCTTGTCCCAGGAAGGAAACACTGATGCCTATCTCCTGGGCACACACAATCACCGCCGACGTCTCACGTAACCTTCTCCGAAGCGTCTTCCAACACGAACCGTTGAAAGTCTCAATGAAAAACGGGTCCCCTCTGGCTGCCTTTGGACCTCCGCGCAGAGGTGGCACAGGTACTCCAGCAGAGGACAAAGGAATGCCTGACAAAAGGGGCGCACGGCAGCGGTGTAGTGCGTCACCCGCACCGCTGCTTCTTCGCCCTGATGCCGAACTGCTTGAGCAGCTCGGAGACCTCCTTCTCATGGTCAGAGCCCTCCTTCCGCGCCGCTGCGATGACCTGCTGCACCTTCTC